TTATTTTATGACCATTAGTGTGAGTGGATTTAACAAAGAAATAATGATATCTGGAAGTAGTATATTAATTTTTATTTTGAATAAATATTCCTAAATATGAAATATATCCTCTAATAATGTTGCTTTCACAAAATAAATTAAAAACATGTAGTTATGGTTACTGAATGATAAAATTCCATATAGACCATAGTCACTATATTATAACTTATTGGGCTTGGAATGTATAAAAAAGATTCCATTTTTAACTTTTAAAAGAATACATATTGGGCTGGGGATTTAGCTCAGTGGCACTGTGCCTGCCTTGCAAGCAAAAAATCCTGAGTTTGATCCCCAATACAAAATAAAATAAAATAAGACATTTTTAAGCATTATTTAGTATTGACAGAAATTGGATAGAATGTTTGTATTTCCATGGTCAGCAACATTCAAACTTTATTCTATGGAGAATAATACAGCAGATGTTAATTACACAAACACATCTATAACACACTCCTTAGAAACCCTAGTGGAAAGCATATAAGAATACATGCGATACAGCAATAGTTTGAAACTATCCTTATTAATCTTATAAGTTAATTAATGTGCAAACATTACATTTTAACTGTTACTGATAAATGCAACCATTTTTTTTTTACTTATCTCACAATAGCTACCCACATACAGAGGAGAAAATTGAGCCTATGTTATGGAGAAAAGTGTAAGCTTAGAAGTTTTATTTTTGTTCAAGCCACAACAGTTCAGTGTGGCATTCACATATTCTGTGGACCTGTGAAAGCAGAGTGTGGCTGAGATTGCAGCTGTGGGGTCAGACTGTCATGATGGAACACATGCTGACAGCCTAAGAGCAGAGAGAACATTTTTCCATATCTGCAGTTACAACACGGGCCATGTCAAAAGAATTGCCTAGGTTTCACAGTAAATATAGATTCCTAGATCAAGACAGACCTTCCAAGTTAGAATTTTCAGCATTGGGGCCTGGAAATCTGTATTCTCCCTCATGCAGCCCAGTGATTAGACCAGTTGGGGAAACCTGGTAGTAATGCTATCAAGCTTGGCAGAGCTGTTGATCTCTATTGAAGCCTTCAGTTACCGTCTC